GAGTTCAGCATTTTCATAACCAGGAACCGAGCAGCAGAGTCAGAACTTACGACGAGTAAGGCCGTAAAGGACCCAAGTGATGGTAACGTTTGCGACGAAATCACCTTCAGGTGAAGCGAAAGCATATACAACTGCTGCAAGTTCGAGCGCCAGTATAGCTATGATTGCGTATACCTCAATCCACGCATAGACCTCAGATGCGATTGCCGGGTTGATAGTAGGGGTAGGGTAGTTATCCTTCATTCCGAAGGCAGCGAACGCCGAGTCGACGACAAGGAAGGTTGACCACGCCTGTAGCATGGAAATTGGAGTATGGACGAGCACTGCGGAATCCATAGTTCATCGTCGGGGGGCCTCGCTGTTTCGGGGCAACGTCACTTCACTCACCTTCGTCATAAATGTTCTCCGAATGATGTTCCGTCTTCAAAATGAAGTATGTATTTGTCGCGACAGCGCTCGAAAATATAGAAAACATGAATATGACAAGCCATTCTCTGTGAATCCAGAAGTGTAGATATGTCGTATTCAGGAGGAAGATTAAGGGAAGACGCCATTTGAGTGGACCATCAATGATGATTTTGTTTCCATTGTCGACCCATTGGTAGACGAGGGTACCGATAAAAAGGACTTGGATGACAGTCCTATTGAAATAGGAGGAAGGTCAGTGGCGGAACATTCCAGTGATCAAGCATCCGTTGCGCGTGCCAGACACCGAAAGTCATGCTCCCGACGGTGAAAGCGCTGTCGTTTCGATGGCCAGGAACATGCTGGGCGATGCAAATGATGTTGGTGATGAGGAAAGCAAGGAACAGGATCTCATTGAGTACTACGGAATGCCCAGGGACGATAACGAGGCGTTGGTGTGTTCAAAGTAACCAAAGTCCCAATAATCGCAGAGCGTACATTTCTGCAAGATGCTCTGCTTGACCTGAGTAAAGTGTAGCATGCCTGAAGTTGCACTTGGGACGAATGGGTTACGATTTGCAAGAACAGCGAAACTATTATATGCCCTCGAACTTCCTAGTGAGTCGAAGCGGAATATTCCCCGTTGCGCAGAAGCTGCGATGACTCTGGTCTACCTTAATTTAACTACGCCCGTAGCTGGAGATTGCCATGCAGAAAGCTTCGACCCGCAGAGCTCTCGACCAGGCCTGGGTGATTGATATCGTTTCGTAGCTTCCGGTTAGGGGGAGCTTGGGTGTGACGTAGCTATCAAAGGCAAAAGACTGCTAGCATGGCTATTCTCTATCGCTGGATCGTTAGGATCCTGCCCTAATTTAACAAGCAAGAAACAGTCTCAGGCGCGGGAGACAGTATTCGGGTGTATAGGGAAGGAATTGAATTTTGGATGGCGATGGTGAATTGATCACTCTTGTAATTCGCCAAGGCGAGAACGAAGCGGGCAGTCACTGTTCACCGAGCGCGGGGATATATTAACATAGCTGGGATGCTTCAGGTTTGAGTGCGTAGTGTAGGATGACGCCAGCTTGTCCGTTGTGCGCAAGTCCGGTCACATCTGTCCCTCAGCTGCAAAGGACATCTGTTCATGAGTTCGAACGCGTTCGTAGGTGAGGTAGAAGGGAGTCAGCTGTGATGCATTGTGTGACGGTGACCTTGCGATTTTGACTGGATCACACGGACTGGATCTCCTGTTTCTTCGTCTGCTACTCAATCCTTTCTACCCCATTCCCATCCCTAAACTCTGGCCGCTGCAGTGATAGAGTGAGTGGTTGTGCACCTTCTCTCGCTTTTCATAATTATTCTAACCGAATTCATTGTTGCAGGGATCGATGCCCGACCCATCTTCGCCTCCTGCACCCATACAGGCCTATTACAAACTTACGTTCCCCAACTTCGAATACTACCTTCAAACACTCTCCGTCACCATTGGTCGACGTCCTATTGATCCTCCCGCAAATCTACCCCTTGATGCTCCCCAATCAACCGAACACCATGAGCCAGTCGTCGTCAAACCTGACGGTGACCAGGATATACTGGACTCGATCGTCCAAAGCGAAGAGGTCGCGCTCGAATGCTTGCAGTCGCTCGCGAGTGGCATACCAATAATGTCCGAGGAGGCACCACCGGCCTCGCCTCATCCATCATCATCATCCAGCCATCCATCTCGTCAAAGTCGCAGATCTTTCACTTCTTCCGCCTTCCCCCACATTGACGTTGATCTGGGCCCACTCAAGAGCATATCACGCTTACATGCACGTATCGACTACGATGACTCCATCGACAAGTTCGTCCTTTACGTCAACGGCCGGAACGGCGCTTGGGTCGACGGTGCGTGGGTAGGATGTGGGGGAAGAGTTGCGTTGGGCGCTAGGTAAGTCTATATATCAACCACTACTTACCTCGACCTGCGAGCTAATCATTATTCTAGAACGCAGATACAGATTTCCACAAGGACGTTTTACTTTGAGCTGCCGCCGTCAGTGGTACCGATTCCGGTCACCCCAGATACTACCCCAGAGGCCGATATTGACCCAACATCCGCTGATGATCCGCCACACCCCCCTTCGCCTTCCACACACCTTCAGGACTTCACCAACTCCGCACCCTCTCGTAAGAGACGCCGGTTGTCGCACTCGGTGTCCCGTTCTCCATCGCCATCTGCCACCCGTCGGCGGAAGCCCCCACCACCCGCTGCTGAATACCCTTCGACACCCTTACCTCATCCTGCATCATCATCTCTGCCGAACGAAACGGCCTCGCAATCTCCTGCTGAATCGAAGCTACCAACGTCTGCCACGGTACCTGATGACTATTCAGATGAGGACTTGCTAGTGTCAATTAATGACCTGGAACAGGACGATATCGATGAGCTCGAAGCGATGCCCCCCCCTTCAGACTATGAAGTAATATATGGCGATGAGGATAAGGCGAAAGGGAAGGGGAAGGGGAAGGGGAAGCTACTAAAGGGACTAAAGGGCAGGAATGTGGGCAAAACGCGAAAATCCAAAGTGTCGAACAACGCGGCATCAAAGACCCAGGTTCGGGTTCTCAAGCCGCCTCCCAAACTACTGGCACAGTCGTCGACATCAGGCTCTTCGTCTAAACCCAAACTGCCAGCCCTAACCTCGAAGAAGATGGCTGTCGAGGAGCCGCAGGATCCAACTCAACCCCGGCAGCCGAAGAAGTACATGACCCAACGTCTCATTGCTAAGACGCAGATGCAACAGGCTCCCCGACCGCCGCCCGATCAGATGCCCCCGAAACCGCCGTACACCTATGCCGTCCTGTGCTACCGAGCGATCAACGAGCTCGGCGGTAAGGCGAGCTTGAGCGAGATTGTCAACTGGATCCGGGACAAGTTCGAGTGGTACAGGTGGAACGATGAGTGCGGTTGGGAGGTACGTGTCTGGGAGGGTAAAGTCAACGAGCGCTGACGCTGTCTCCTGTGTGGTCTTGTTGGCAGTCATCCGTTCGGCATAACCTTTCCTCCAATCCGGGGTTCGTCAAGTCACGTCGAGACAACGAGGTGGAAGCGATCGTTCAGGCTACGGGCCAGCAAAAGAAGACTAAGGGCTTCTTCTGGAGTATCGATCCCAAGGCAGAGGAGTCCTTTGCCGAGAAAGAACGCGAGATCGCTGAGGCGGGAAGGAAAATGCAGCAGAAGGCCAGAGCAGGCCAACCGATGAGCGGTGTTGGGGTGACTCCTGGAATGCCTATCCCGCCAAGCGTGGAACTCTCTGTCATGCTAAAGCCGGTGATTGTGGGCGGAACCGGCGGATCGTCAGGGAAACATGTAATGCCTGTACCAATGATGGCGCCCAGAGGCATGGGTGCTCAACCGCCACCGCCACCTGTTGGTATGATGATGAACCCAGGTCTTCATTCTCACCCGCATATGGCACAACCACCCATGATGTCTCATCCACCGCTGCCCATGACGGCACCGGCACCTCCATCGGCTCCTGCTCCTGTCCCACCCCACACACTTACTCCTTCCTCGAATCATCCCTCATTACCAGCTCATCCACCGCTCGCATTCCCACCGCCACCCCTACCCTCATCCATCAACCAGTCTGCATTCCCTCCAGCGTTATCCGATGTCTGCTTATCCATCATCGTCGGACCGCTACCACCCGCTGCCCTCACTGACCCATCTTCACCATATGCCGAGGGCCAACCAATCACGCTGCACAATGGATCTTTGATCCTCAACCCTACCATCTTCGCTGGTCTCACCACGGAACAACTGGACGAGCTCCAGAAGCTGAAAGCGGCGAAGGCGCTTGAAATTTTGACGGAATATACGAAGAATTTTGTCAAGGAGCAGATTGTGAAGAAGGGGAAGGCCAGAGGAAAGGTGAAAACAACCACAAAGACCGGAAAGGCGGGATCGACAGAACCAACAAGAGCTACAGGGGATGCGGCTGAGTTAAAAATTGAGGTTTCGCCTACACCAACTTTGACGGCGCAATCGCAGTCATTGGATTCTGCATCCATCCTGGCCATAGCCAACCTCGCTTCTGCGTCAGCGGGACCGTCATTTCGGCCTACACCCTCAGTGCCGTCTGTCCCTACCCCGAGCGCACCGTATCCCGGAGGTTCCACGCACCCGATGCCGCTACCATACGGGTACTATGGGGCGTATCCATTCGCCTATTCTGGCGCTTGGGCTCATCCCGGCCTGCACCAGCCGCAGTCTGGAGTGCACTTCCCACAACCATGGATGCAAATGCCACCGGGGCCCCCTCAACCACCGCATTACCTTTCATATCCAACAGCGACGCAAGTATCACAAGCTCCTGTGGCATGTGCTTCGGCCTCGTCTGCTGCAATAATTCCGAACATAACGGCTGCTGATGGTTTACTAGGAAAGAAGATCAAATTGGATGATGGAGCAGTGGATGCCGCAGAGGCAGCAACTATTGATGTAGTCTAAACGCGAGCATAGTTGTAGCACTGATATTCATACTAGTGGTAGAGAGAGGAGTGAGATTCTTTTTAGAACTATATTAACTAACGAGAAGAACTTCAACCAAGTTGGGTATTTAGCGCAGTGGTAGCGCGCCTCATTTGCATACCCCCATCGGAGAAGCCTTGAGGAGGTCGCAGGATCAATCCCTGCAATATCCACTAGATGTTTGCATTTTGCATCGCTCCAGTCCTTGCATTTAGTGGCAAATGCCAAAACAATATAAATAGCAATCACCGTCACCGAGAACCTAATAAATAGTTACATGGTTTATAAACAATGTTGGTGAAGTAGCTGTTATGCTTGCCTTCCATGCAGGGGCAGCAAGCGCATGGGGTTCGATTCCCCGACAGTGCATTTTTTGAGAGGGATATGTCATGAAGAGGCTAAGTCCATAGGACAACCTGCCTCATAACATGGGTGTCACCAAATTAGGGGCAACCTTGCAGGCAATGCACTGGCAGCACCAGCACCAGTGGTCCCAGCAACATAAACCCAATACATATTCATCACTAATCTGACACCTGCCAACCCCTCCATCACAACCCACCAAGTGGCACAACTCTCACCAAAGGGGCGAAAAGTGGTGGTTCGCAAAAAACATGATGGGAAGAAACATGGTAATTGATGCTACAAATTTGTGTTGTCATGCAAGCAGTACATGGTCCTGTCTGCCTAGCAGTTTGGCAATGATAGGTCCCTCATCAACTGGGCCTTGGGGTACTTGACAGAAGAAGTGCAGAAGTGGGTGCTGATTGTGATTAAGGATTCAATACAACCAACACCACAAATCAACACATAGTACCAGTTTAAGGAAGCCATTGAGCACACATTCAGGGACCCTGACTGAGTCACAAAGGCCCTACAAAACCTGCAGCAAATGGGTTTAGCCACAATGTACATATCAGTGTTTAGCAAGTACATGTACCACGTTACATAGAATAATAAGGCACTACTATCACAGTACAAACTTGGGCTGAAGGCTAAAATCAAGCTAGCTAAGGCAGCAACAGGGTGGGCAAACATGCTAATGGACATCCAGGAAGAGGCAATCATGATTGACAACTGCCTCTTTGAAGCACATGCTGAAGAGAGATGACAAAACCCTCAACCCTTGATGCCACTACCTCCTTGCAACCCATAACCCTAACTACCACCATGCCAGCAGAATCCCTACCTTCAGCAAGTCCTCAGAGAAAGAGGACAAGGTGCTCTGCCATGTTAGCAGCAGCAGCAGCACCACTGTCATGAGTAGGGCTGAGATACTGCTGGATGATGATGAGGAAGGTAGCAGTGAGCACTAGGAGCTCAGTGGAGAGGACAAGGAGATGTATAAAGAGACAATGAGGAGCACTAGAAGCTCAATGCTGATGAGTGAGGAGGTAGGGAAGTGGGTACAGGAGAGGAGGGAATACAAGACTGTCATGAATGGAGGTCTGAGGGAACCGCTGGACGACAACAAGCGCTAGGAGCTCGATGAGGAGGACAATGAGATGTATAAGAGACAACAAAGAGCACTAGGAGCTCAATGTTGATAAGTGGAGAGTGGAGAGAGAGGAGGTACAATGAAGAGATGAGATACAAGATGTTGCATGAGGAATAAGTCCTCTACATCTATCAGTATATATAGAGGTAAATGAGTGGAGGCTTACAAACATGACACAAGTACATGGTGTGGTAGTGTGGGAGAACATGAGGATAGAAGTGCAGGGCAGTGACAGGTGACCTCCTAAGTGAGAGAAGAGAAGTAAGCTAAGCAAGAGAAGGATGACAAAGCGAGACACATGATTAGAAGATAGTCCGAGGTTAAACTGAGAATAGTCTGAGATAGTTCTGAAGCCCGTTCTGTGGGAATGTAGAATGTGACCATAAAGGAGAAGCCCATGTTCGAATTGGACTTAGGTGCGATGTAGTCATAATAAAGACATGGCATGAGGAGTGAGTCCTCTACACCTACTAGTATATATAGGTTTACATGAGTGGAGGATTACAAATATGACATGAATACACTGTGTGGTGGTGTGGGAGGATATGTGGATAGAAGCGCAGGGCAGTGACAGGTGACCTCCTAAGTGAGAGAAGAGAAGTAAGTTAAGTGAGATAATGATGACAAAGGTGGACATATGATAGAAGATAGTCTGAGATAAATCCAATATTAGTCTGAGGTCCATTTCATGGGATAGCAGAAGGTGATCATAAAGGGAGAAGCCATGTTGGGTGGACTGAGTATGAGACATAGTCATGACAGTTGCCCCCTCTAAGGTTGTGGAACACGCAGTTGACTTGAAGTGTGAGATGACCTTTCTGGTTTTGGTTGGTCAGGGTTTGACTGATGGAATTCCTGTATGATGTCTTGAGCATTTCCCATATCCTCAATGTAGTTCCAGGAATTTTCAGAGGTGTTGTATCCTTTCCATTTCACCAGATATTGGAATCGTGTTCGGTTCCATCTCGAGTCTAGTATCTTGTCAACTTTGTATTCTTCTTCACCTTCCTTATTATGTACAGGGGGAGGTGGTTTGACTCTTTGTCCCTCAATTGGATCTTCCTGTGTTGCCATGAGTCTTGATATATGGAATACTGGATGTATCTTGAGTGTGTCTGGAAGCTCCAGTCGATACACTGTCCTTCCAACCTTTTTGATCACCTTGTATGGTCTGAATCTTCTATGCTCGAGCTTGGCTGACGGTCTCAACATCTTAATTGCCTCAGTTCCAGTGAGGCTGTCCTTTCAGTTCAGCCATACACAATCCCCAACTTGATGTGGAGTTGCTTGTCATACATGCTGATCATAGGATCTCTGATTCTTTTCTTCCACCTTCTCCATTATTGCTTTCACTTTGTCCCCTATCTCTTTGATCTTCCTGGCCATCTCCTCAGTGTCTGGGACTCTTGACTCATTGAACATCTGTGGTGAAATCATAGGATGGCTTCTATTGTCTGCAAAGAATGGAGTGACTCCGATGGACACATTCACCAAGTTGTTATATGTGAATTCAGCGATGGCTAGCCCTTCATCCCAGTGGTTCTGCCTATAGTCAGTGTACAGCCTTAGGTATTGTTCCATCAGTGAGTTGATCCTTTCTGTTTGTCTATTTGTTTGTGGATGGTAGGCTGTTGAGAAGTTAGGCTTTATCCTGATTGATTTGTAGAGTTGCTTCAAGAACTCTGAGATGAATGCTGTGTCTCAATCAGATGTTGTTCACTGCGGTGTACCATAATGCTTCTATATGTTCTCCAAGAACTTCTTTGCTGTGTCTTTTGCTGATGAAGTTTCTTTTGTCATGATGAAGTGGGCCCTTTTCGTGAACCGGTTGACCACTATGAGTATTGAGTCATTATGTCTTTTCATAACCAGGAGTTTTACGACGAAGTCATAGGTTATGTCTATCCATCTTCCTATTGGCATGGCCAAAGGTTTCAGTGTTCCTTGTGGTTTTTGGTTGATGTTCTTTGTTCTTAGACAGGTGTCACAATGGTTGACATAATCATTAATGAATCTTGTCATTAATGGCCACCAGTATGTTTGAATGACTAGTTCCAGAGTCCTCACCCTTTCTGGGTGTCCTGCTGTGACTGCATCATGTCTCGATTCTATGATGTCCCTTCACAGATCATGATCCTGAGGAACATATATCTTTCTTCCTTGCATTAGCACATCATCCACCAGGTAGTAATCACTCATCTGTTCCTTGATTTTTGCAGGGGTGTTTTCTGCGTTTGTTTGAAGGAAGGCCAGAATGGCAGCCATTGATTTATCTGACTTCAATGTTTCTCTAATCCTCTTCATGAACTCTTTATCAGAGAACATTATTGCTGTGATTTCAAAATGCAATTTTTCTACAATCATTTTGATTTTCTCTGCTCCCCCCTTTAGCTGATGATCTGGCCTTCCAGAGAGTGGATTGGGTCTCGCTTTAATGCCAGGTCTGTAGATTATTTTGAAGT